TATGGTTGCCGCATTCCGATCTTGAGCCTCCCTTGGATATTGGGACTATGAAGGAGTGGCTCCACTCGGTTGGGACAGTTTCCTGTTCCCACAGTTTCACTACTAACTCGTATAAATCATCCACAATAGCAGGTCCGCCGAAATTGAAAAGGGATGGAGGTCGATCATCTGGTCCTGTGGCTTTATCTAACTTTAACAATGCAATCTCACGTTCAACTTCTGATCGAGAGAATGGATCCAAGAGGACATCCCAGGGAGCGGGGCGATCACTGGTCGGCGAGAAATCTAACAATTCCGACCGATTAAATTGCTTTTCAAAATGCTCAGCCCAACGCTCCAAACATTTTGACGAGTTGTGGATAGGCTGTCCACTCTCGTTACGTATAGTTTCACTAACACCAGGTCTTCTGCTGCTTGTTTCCCGTATCGGACGGAATAAATTTCGATGGTTACCAAGGGCAGCGGCCATTTCCATCTCTGATGCACGATGAGACCACCAAGATTCGCGGTCTCACTTCAGACTAGCACGGAGTTTTGCCCGGAGCTCTTTGCGAGTTTCATTGTGTTCGCTTCCAGCCGGGATATGCCGGCGAGCGTCGATAAGTTCTAGAGACTGCGAAGAGACCCAATATCCATGTTGGTGATTAGACTTACCATATGACAATTGGCCTGCTGCTAGTAAGGACTGGTGAATATGAGACCAGTGAGGTTCAACTGCATCCAGTGAACGCTTACTCAACTCGCATGACTGTATTTTAATAGGCATTCAGAACAGCTGGCTTAGTCAGTTGGCTGGTGTCAAAGCGCTCACAACGTCGTCTTGAGCGTCCGCCAAAACGCATCCGCATGTCAACACATACAAGCGCATGGTTGGTGTCCACATCTCTGCTCCAAATCGAGCGACAGTTCTGGACGCAGCCTCACCAACGGAAACTTATCGCAATGTGATCGATGTGCGTCCAAGGCTGGTTCGAGGCTGGTGGGCGCCAAGTCACCCTCCGGCGGGTGCTGTGTCGGAAGTTAGTGTTCACAGAAAATAAGCAGGCATCTTCCCACAAATGAAGTAACCACTCACCGTTATCATTACGGGAGCCTACACCGTGCTGACCGCCCAGATGAATTTCATCAGTGGACAACTTTCCAAATTGAGCGTTCATATCCCCAGCCAGCATAACAGTGTCCGTCCTTCTTCTGTGGCGAAGGAGTTCGGTCAGTTGGTGGTAGAAGTCGTCTTTTACCGAATCATCGCTACAGTTTGTGGGCGTGTAGACAGCGATGATGAACAGACACCTATTAGTCCCGCACGACTTCGAAGCTTTGAACGTGCCAACCAATCGGACCGCACACATCCGGCTACTGACTGGGATCCAACCAACAAGAGCAGATTCAGCCCGGGGACTCAGGGCAATGCCAACACCGGCTTGGCCGGTGCTCGAAGCTGCATCGTCACCGGATAGGCGCAATGAGAAAGTGCTGCTGGTGTCACCTGAAGGGGATCGCAGAGTGAGCACAGGGCTCGAGTCTCGTAGGCGACTCTCTCATTGGCAGCAGATATCGATGGAGGGTCTCTAAAGTTCGGGTAAGTGATGTCTGTTGACGGATCTGTAGTAATGTGCGTACATTGAGGCATGCCAATCTGAAGGAGGATCGAGGGCTCCAAAAGGTAGCCGATGAAATGGAGTGACCGCTTAGTTGGACATGGGCTTGTGGAATAAACAGGAATGACGCTCCGCGTTCACATGTCAGTTGAAACTAGAAGGTAAAAGCCCAGCAAAGCAAGGTCGGGGGGCAAGAATTGGGGGGTTGAAAACTGAGGGGATAAGTGAACTTGGTAGCATGTAGCTTGTCATCAATCGCATCAAGCTAGGATAGGACCCACACCAGCTGGTAGTACCGACAGGTAGGCAATACTGCACATCCATTCACTAGTCTAGTTACAGTTCAGATGCAGGGACTTGGTGAAATCAAATTCATTTTGGCTACCGTGTCAGTGCCTATTAAATATCAGCTTATGCTTGAAGAAGTCCCCATACCGGTTTGGCAACCTTGACTTGGACGGAGAAGTGTATGCTTTGGAACATAACTACGGGGCATTTCGCATTTTCCCGTAAAGTCGACTTATTGTTTGAAATTTCCGTGCTGATAGTGCCGGGTATAGATAGAAAAAATATCTGCACTTCATTGCCACAATTTTACATACATCTTGTTCGGCTACCGCTAATTCATGCTAGTCAGACGGGAAGATAGAAGACACACAAACGCGCAGCACAGAACGAGACAAAATGGAATTGTCGAAGTGAGTGAGAACGGAAAGTTAATGAAACGTTTGGCATTTTCGTGGTGACAACCGTGCACTGATGAGCGTCGGTAGTTTTATGATCTGCGCACCACAGAAGTTCCAGCGATGAGAAAAATGATCGCACCGTAACATAGGCGTTTGGTTGATAGTGAGGAGGGTTCAGTTTACTGTCAAGGAGTAATTATCACGAGTGACAAGCGCTCACAGATGGTACTCAAAACATGCATAAGAGATGTGTGCTTGATAAACATGTGCACACATGCGCATGCGGTCAAACCTCACGGCTTGACAGGTTATGAAGCAATGAGTGGGGGTGGACGTGATAAACCCGTTGTCAGCTCGTAACGCTGGACTTCACGACCGCTTTCGTACCTGTATGCGACTTAGATCTACGATACAGAGGCATCCGTCCAGGGATTTTCCGACGGCACGCATCAAAGGGAAAGGCTTTCCAAATGAACTCCCACTGTGAGTTGACAGTATAGAATTGCGTTGAATCAGCGGTAGGGATCGTGGTACTATGGAATTTTGTCGGCAGCGAGTTCATTTAAGACACGAAAGAAAGACACGAAGATTGTCCAGATTCCAATTTGTTGCATTTCTGCCACGAGTATGCTACGCACTCCAGACCGGAACAATGCCGGTGCTCATTATCGAGATTGATGGTGGAAAGTTGACGAAAATGCTGACGTACAGGGTCAGGCATTGTTGTATTCCGAAGTCGATACTTCGGATATTGAATAGCCAAGATGAGCCCTAACGAATGTATCTTCTACAGGAAACAGTGCGTAAACGGAATTGTTGACATACTCAATCTTAAAAACGTTGCAGCTAGGTGAGCTGTCATGAACGGTAATGAAAGTACACCAACCTACTGTGGGCAGGCTATGTTGGACGCAACATGAAATTGTATTCTGCGAACGTACGTTCCGATGAAATCGCGCAAGACGACTACACGTAATCGACGCCCACTCGCGTCTGATACAAACGCTCCCACGTACGTGAACTAGCATGCTCCGCACGCCTCCAGTTTCTCCGCGTTAGAAACTGCGCATACCATCCCATGTGAAACTGACATGTTGTAAGCTTCGGTAGATAAATGGGGATGTGTCTTTTACCGGGTCGTAAAAGTACTGTTGCTTAAAACCCATTTTCTGTCTCTCTTGGCTTCGGGTGCGTTGCGTGTTAGCGTTCATCTCGCACAGGTGGGGCATAACCCAACAAAACCGAGTAGTTCACATTGGGGTTACAATTCGTGTCGACCATTTCGTTCGTTTCGATTAAGAAAGCCGTTACAACTAGGTCGGTGTAACAAATTGAGCCGGCCCTATTCGAAGGAAAGGCTTGCCGAACTACCGGCTGGCTTGCCGAACTACCTCCTCGTGGTGCCAGCTGGGTGGTTCGGGTGTACCCCGTTCCAGCAAAGTGTTCGGCGACAATGTTCCACCTCGGTGGGACATTGTATTCCAGCAGGTGTGCTGACTTCATGGGGAGTATTGGGCCCCTGTTTGGTAAGCTACCAAACAAAGGCGCATGAACTGAACATTCAGTCAACGCCTCCCAATGGGCGCGATTCCCTAAATTCGCCCCGCTGCCTTGCGGGTAGGTTATTTAGCCAAAGGCTCGGGGTGGAGTCCCCTAAGTCAACTCCCTACTTCGGCTTGGGCAACCGGGTAGTATCACGCCCTCTCGCAAAACCATGGACCGTATTACAACTTGCTCATCAGCTGCTATTTCTGCTAGTCACTTTCACGCGACTTCATCACACGCCAATTGTTTGTTTGTTAACAATCCTCACTTTCCGTTACCCGATTCATGTGCTCAACAATCTGGCTGCGATTCCGGTTGCGCCACAGACCAAGGAGTTCAACCTATGGCTCTCCTTCGTCCCCGATCCTCGTTCCGTCTGGCGTGCTTCAACGTTCGGACACTCATGCAGATTGGACAGCAAGCCGGTCTAGCGCGCACCCTAGATTCCCTAGACATTGATGTCTGCTGCCTTTCAGAAACCCGATTGCAAGATCCCAGCACTGTGCTTACATTGACATCCCCCACTGACCACGAAGCCATATATCACCTGCGTCTTTCTGGAGATCCAGAAGCAGCCTCAGCGGGTCTGGCTGGTGTAGGTATAGCACTAAGTGACAAGGCCGAGGCGGCACTACTGGACTGGTTCCCTATTAACAGCCGACTATGTGCAGTTCGGCTTCGGGGTTCATGTAGAATCAACAGGCACCGCGAAGAGAGACACAACTTGTTTGTGATCTCCGTGTACGCTCCAACTGACTGCAGTGGCGACTCGGTCAAGGACGAATTCTATCGGGATCTACAACAGCTCTTGACTAATGCTAAAAAGTCGGATATCGTTATCCTTGCTGGGGATTTTAATGCACGGGTTGGCCGCCTGTTACCATACGAACGCCACCTTGGTGGTCATCACTCGCTCGATGAGAACCGCTCTGATAACGGAGAGAGACTTCTCACATTGTGCGAAGACAACCGTCTGTTTCTTTCGAGCACTAACTTCAGGCGTACGAAGAAGCGTTCCGCAACGTGGCGTCCCCCTTCGCCAACACAACCGTGGTCTCAAATTGATCACATTGCAATTAGCTTCAGATGGCGCGGCAGCGTACTGGACTGCAGGTCCTTTTGGTCCACCTTCATTGACTCAGATCATGCTCTGGTCTGCGCGAAAATCTGTATGTGTTTTGGAGGATCCCGAAACACGAAGCACCGCAAGATTGATGTAAACAGATTAACTGATTCCTCTGTCCAGGCGAGCTATCAGTCTTCATTGGCATATGCACTCAGTTGCAATCCACCGCAAGAAGTGGAACAACACTGGACTTGTATACGGAAGGCAATGACCATTTCCGGACAGTCATGCTGCGGCCTAACTCGACGCCTCTTGAAGGCTTGGATCTCTGCTCGTTCTCTGGAGCTGTTCGAACGCCGCAAAGATATCCCCGCGGAATCAGATTGCAACGAGCGGCGCCGTTCTGCCAACCGGCTGCTCAAGCAAAGCCTACGCAAGGATCGCGAGACATGGTGGTCTGAGCGTGCTTTAGAGATGGAGACCGCTGCCCTCTCTGGCAACACTCGCAGGCTTTTCCAACTCATTCGGTCCACTGGCCTCAGGAAGCCTGGTGTCAGTGAAGTCATTTGTGAGGTGGATGAGTCTCCGATCACCAACCAACAGAGGCGTATGGACCGCTGGGCCGAGCACTTTCACTCGCAGTTCAACTGGCCTCCACCGTCCATCAGTACATGCAGTACACGTTGTTGTCCACCCTGGCTCGTCCCTCTGAATCCACCCAGCGAAGCGGAAGTCTGCCTCGAGATTCGACGCTTGAAGCGCTTCAAGGCTGCCGGCTTAGACGGACTTCCTCCGGAACTATTCAAGTACGGCGGTGTGGCGATCATTAACCAGCTGACCGCGCTGTTCGCAAAAATTTGGCATGAAGAGAAAGTGCCTTCCTCTTGGGGCGAATCAGTTATTGTCCCGATTTTCAAGAAAGGCGCTCGTACTTCATGTGCAAATCATCGCGGGATTAGTCTTATTTCGGTTGCCTCTAAGCTATTGGCATCCATTCTGCTTCGCAGACTATCCCCAGTACGTGAATCATACTACCGTGAAGAACAAGCTGGTTTCCGTCCTGGCCGCGGATGCGTGGATCAAATCTTCACGCTCCGCCAGCTCCTCGAACATCGCCACATTTATCACAGGCCCACTATCATTGCATTCCTAGACATACGTGCCGCTTTTGACTCCGTTGATCGACCTGCTTTATGGCGTTGCTTACTAAAGAACGGGGTGCCAGAGAAATATACCACCATCTTACGAGCACTTTACCTTCATACATCCGGCAGAGTGAGGGTCTATGGCAAGCTTTCCTCGCAATTCGCTGTCAATAGCGGTGTGCGACAGGGCTGCCCTATGTCCCCATTCCTCTTCAACTTCGCAATCGAAGACGTTCTGTCGAATGCTCTAGAAGGTTTCCAACATTTTGGCCTAGAGCTTCTACCGGGTGAGCGCGCGACCGACTTAGATTATGCTGATGATATCGCCTTACTTGGTGACGATCCTCAGAGTATGCAACTCATTCTGGATCGTTTGGCGGTTGAAGCATCTAAGTATGGCATGAGCTTTGCCCCATCGAAGTGTAAAGTACTGCTCAAGGATTGGCTTTCACCTGCTCCCGTACTCACTCTCGAAGGTGCACAACTTGAACAGGTAGATAGTTTCGTCTACCTTGGGAGCTGTGTTTCTGCTGACGGCACTATCAACAAAGAAGTTTCTCTTCGTATCGCTAAAGCTCGATCAGCATTTGTCAATCTGAGGCATTTGTGGCGTCGTCGCGACGTCTCATTCTCACTAAAGGGCCGCGTTTACAGCGCATCAGTTCGCTCAGTATTGCTGTATGGGTGCGAGTCCTGGCCGATTCGCGTGGAAGACATGCGTCGTCTTTCTGCTTTCGATAACGGTTGCTTAAGGAGGATCGCTCGTGTTTGGTGGCAACATCGAGTTAATAGTAATGACGTTCGACGTCGCATTTTGGGGAATGCGAGTATTCCCTTCAACAAACTGATTTTGTTGCGCCAGTTGAGATGGCTCGGTCACGTCCTACGCATGACACCTGAGCGTCTACCGCGTCGCGCACTATTCGCTCGTCAAGGACCTGGCTGGAGGCGACCGCGTGATGGTCAGCCTTCCACTTGGCGGCAGCACATGAAATCGCTGACGTCGTGTCTAGCCGCTGTTGGATCCGTACGTCTTCCAGGATGGGGACCCAAAGATGAGGAGTGCCAATGGCTTAGCAATATGAACACATGGCCCGCAACCGGAATCAGTGGAAGAATTGTGTACAGTATTGTGTTGATTCACATGTTCAATACTACAAACTTTAAAATGACAAAAAGAGCAAAAGCGGCGTGTGAAAAACAAACTAAAAATGTTTTGTTCTACTTTTTATCAAAATGTTCCATTCTTCCTGCGGCATATTAGTTGAAGTGTGTTGCTCACCTTCAACTAGCATGCCACGATGATTATGACGCGATGAATCTTGCTTATCTGCTGATCTCCATGGTTTTATGCTGACTCTATGTCTAGTTAATAGACTGTTGAGATTACATACATACATCATCCGGTCAACTATTGATGACAGACAAAGCTGTTAGAATGGATTGTTGTAAATCAGATACTCGGGTAGATTGTAGCACTTGTTAACTTTCGTTTAGACCGGTGTTGTGCTGGTGAAAGTGTACTACAAAGGAGCAGTAGGGAGTTTGAATGGTATGCCGTCCCATCCTTTCTAGGATTGTCAGCAGTGTGCATTCAAGCTCACTACTATGGGACTAGAACCCGAAACGCCACTGTTACCAGTCCGTAGTTGAGATTACTGAGGTACGGGGGACGGTAACGATTTTTTTGACTAAGTTACTAGGTGTGATTTAGCGCCGCTCCCTATCCACCTAGTTGGATGCTATTGCTGTGCAAAGGACAGAGTAACCCCTTTATCGAAAGACTATTTATCAGATGGTACCTATAGTGGTCAGATGATGGATCTGAAATTGGTAGCCGAAAAAACACTAAATGTAGTTCGTCGACTGTCAGTTGCACTTACTGTTGCTTGCAAGTCACACCAAAAATCGAGTTAGGGTCCAAGGATTGAGCCAAAGTAGAACACTGCGGTAGCAACAAGTGTTAGCAGCAAAATCCTGAGGGAGGCTTGGTAAATTCGCATGCAAAAGTTAAGTGTCTGGTGATGTAACCATGAAGTTGAGAGGGGTCCCAAACGTATCCGCATCTGTAAGGTGTGAAAGATTCCACTGAACAGAATTCTGTCCAATCCTCGCAATTTTGAGCAACGCCGACCTCACCCTATGCCACTGAACAAAACGCCTGGTGTGGCTCTGTAATTTGGGAGATAGTCAATTTGCTACCTGCATCAATCACGTCATCTTTGCAGGGAAATGGTGCGCTGGGGCATGCAAACCCTGTTACCCTATCAACAAGGCATATAAGTCTAGGTGGCTGAGTCCTACGGAGGAAACAAGTATGAACTGAGAACAAAGCAGTAGATAACACCGGTGAAAGGTTGAAATTAAAGGGGCAAAAATGACGTTTTGCGTGTGACGAATGATGTGACCTGATTCGCTCCAATGACAGTTGCGAAAAAGTCCACAACCTCAATTGAAAAGGTCGGTGATCACAACCAGCGAACAGGGTCGAACCAGGGAGTAACACAGCATTGCCCACAAGCCTGCAACATTGACAAACTAAACGTAGGTTGGAATCCACCTAGCTTCTAGATCATCGATTACGATCTATAAAGAAGGGGCAGAAAGCACGCGCAAAAACTCAAATGTGTACTTAGGAGATGGGAACTGGTACGCCTCTGATATCCGAGTCGGGAACGTTCGAACAAAGGGAACGAATGTCTCAACATCAAATCGTATAGCTCAGACAACAAGCAGGCGAACGGAAATATTTAACTGGCACGCCTTGTTCACTCCCAGTAGATGTGCAGTATAGAACACGGATATAGTCGCTACGGTGGTAAAGCTGTGCACATTGGTTAGTACTAGCAAGTCCACTTAGTGTACAGCGAATGTGCCATAGTTTTACACTCATATTCTATTCACGGCTTTGTGTAAAACAGTGGATAACTCATCGGTTAGACTGTCGTAGACTATGATAGCTCAACTACTGGGAGTATTTAACCGTATAATGTAAGTGTCATGATAACAGGTGTGTCGCCCCGACATGATGCACACCGACTTTTTCAAGAATGAGTTTTGGGCTGATATGACGTCTGGTAAACGAAGATTATCCTAATTGGGACTGTGGAAGATGTGCATTCGGGACTGTCGAACAGACGTCGTTCGCGTGACAGATTAGCACACAGCGCTGGCCACATTTGGGAGGCAAACACTTACATCACTCGACCAACCAAAAATCATAAAACCCGTCTGGTGGTTTGAATGCACGACTTCCGGTTGGGATAAAAACGAATAATACACCTACGGTGATTGGAGGGGCATTTTAAGCTAGTCGTTGTGTGACTAGATTGCGACGCACGACCTCAATGTAGACCGCGATTCGTAGTAAAGTGAAGCTTGGTCAATGCGATCACTGGGATCGTAGCAGAAGCAGAAGATTGGATGTTGCCGCCAGAAAACACTGCACACCACGACTCGTTTCGGCCACTTGCTGAAGCAAGTGGAGAAATCAAGCCACGAACACGGGAGCATTGGATTAGTGGCCGAAACCCCTACCCGTCGTGACCTGGTAGTCAAAGTGGTAGAGATTTCTGTCACTATTTCATTGATTCAGGGTTCGAGGTCTGATGAGAACAAATGAGGTCGAGGCGTGTCGTGGCGTGCAGTATTTTCGAGCGGGTCACACATTCGGTGAATTCCTGTGGTAATTCACCCTATTGTTGTCCGTACGCTCCAGGGGAGCGTTAGCCTTAGGACGCTGCACGAACGAACGAGTAAGAAGCACTGGGTGATTAATGAGTAGGATGTCGAGAACAGGCAAGTTCGATGGAACCACGTAAAGTGTGACAGGCATGTGTTGCGCATTGCAAGTCAGGATGAGATAGTTTGTTCATGGAAGATGTAGTTCTCGCAGAAGAGGGCAGCAGTCGAAGCGATGTCGTGGCCGTGAGCAAAGTGAGTATGCGGCCAAATGTGTTCACCCGATTCGAACCGAGGGTTGTTGGTGAATTCATTAGACCTCACAAGATCGGTACTCCGGTTTAACTACTCGTGACCATTATATCGAAATTCACTCAGGTTTTACCATTCAATTACTGACCCGTTACAATCCCAAACAGGTCCTGGTGTGACCACAGCTAACAGGCGCGTGTATCGATCATACTAACACCCGTAAATGTCACTCGACAGGCCGTCGAAGGACTCACTGAATTTGTAATAGATGTGTGCACCCCTGGTACACTAAGTAGGGAGGCCTCACGTTATTTTATGAGGGTGTTTGAAGTGTGAAGCGATAACTATTAAAAGCAATACACCGAATGGTAATTCGTGAACGATAGTTTTGTGCACTGTGTAGTATTCAAACGCACGAAAATTTTAACTCAACTGCCACTTGCCGACCACACATCATTCACTCGGCTGGTGGTCCGCATTATGCACACACACGCGGGGGTGTCACATTCCTCCGGATGGCGGGAGGTGAAGGAGTGCGTGAAAGTACCAATATTCAAAGCTAGACGACCACCGCCAATTAGACGACCGCCCCGGTGGCCATAGCAATCATGGCCACTCAAACTCGGTGCAAACATCGCGTCTGTGTGGACGCCCACCCGGGTGCTACCCCCAGCGTGCACGAAAGGTGAAGAGGAGAGACGATGAGTATGATAGACCACCCTGTAGATTAACCACCTCGCACACCACCAGGCGGTCGAGTACAGCTTCGCGAGTGATGCATGCAAGCGAAGCAAATGCCTCGAGGGGATTAAGCCCAATATCAGTTTCAGCGCATCTGTTTGCGACTGCCCGCGTTGGAATGTGGTTAAGCCACCAGATGTACACTGCACCTTGGCACACATAAGTGGATGTTTTCACCACCTGGATGTTTATCAACAGGCGGTGACTGGACAGCTTCCATGGGCGTAAACAAATTCATTTAAATGGTCTCCCAACCCTAAAACGGTTTTCACTAACCTATCCGCCCTCCCACGTAGCAGTATAAAATCCCAGTGTAGACAGAGAATCAGTATATGTGATGAGACTGAACCCATCAAGGCAGACAGAATGTGTACCCAACGTGTAGTATAGGGATAGATCCAGTAACAAGCCTTGGTAACACAGCAGTGCACGGAACATTTCGTTAGTTGGCGGAATGAGATGCCATTATTCAAAAGTGGGTGGCCTACTTTCTGCTGGTGTCAACTACTATGCAGTTCAAAATTAGGCTTTTGGCCAACGGCGTCGCACGTTGTTAAGCAGCACTGAAACAACCTGCCACTCTGTAAGTGGGGTACCCAGAGGAATTCGTGTTCAGTCCAGAGGAGAGAAAAAGTGTGCCAGTTATGTGACCGAACGAAGTCGGTAATTTGGGAGTTAGATAAGTGCGTTTATTGTAAGGTTATTTAGACCGCGTCCGT